TGGAGAAATCGAGAGTTGAGAGCGAGATGGAGATGGAGAAATCGAGAGTTGAGAGCGAGATGGAGATGGAGAAATCGAGAGTTGAGAGCGAGATGAAGATGGAGAAATCGAGAGTTGAGAGCGAGATGGAGATGGAGATAATGCGGCTCTGAAATTGATTTCAGACATAGGATTCCCACTTAATTTTAAGAGAACGCTAAGAGGTAAAAAATCTCTTAATTTAAAAAAAAAAACAAACAGTCTGAAATCACTTATGTCTGAACGATTAAGAGTTAAGAGGCAAATGAGTGAAAATTTTAAAAAACAAACAGGCCCTTAGTGTATAATGAATAATGGTTGTTTGGTAAATGTATAGAAAATGACGGTCTGAATGGCAGAAAATTATCATATTCATCTTCTCTATGATTTAACGTTGAAATATAACTGTTTATTAAGTTTTTTGAATTAAACAACCCCCAAGGTTCATTTGAAAAGTGGTAAGTATTTGAGAAAATAAAAAAAATGGTTTCAGCCCTTCATTTGGTCAATACTTGCAGCTTTGACTGTGAAGCAACGGATAATTTCTCAAATGGATATGCGGAAAATAGAGAAGTAGCTGCATATCTTTTACAACTAGGCGATAAACTAATTCATATGTGAATCCATGTGATTCATATATCAACTATATATTCATATGCAAATTAATTAACAGCTTCACAGAACCTATGAACATATGAGTTCATATGTAAATCAGTTAATTAGTTCATATATAAATCACAATGGTTCACATATCAACATATAATTCACATATGAACTTATATTTCATATGTGAATCACACGAGTTTACATATGAAATTGTTTGCCGTCTAATTGTAAAAGTTACAAAAGTACCCTTCTCTATTTTTTGTATGACTGCAAATTTTTATTGGTAAAAGCCGCAATTCTTGACCAGTCAAATCCAATCTTATGATACTTATTTCACATATATGCAATCATACTTTTCGTTATATTAGAAACTTTTTTCTTAAAAAAAGAGTACAAGTAAATGAACATATTTCACTATGATTAATACTTCCCTTTTAACTCGCATTTGTGAGGATACCAAGTAACAACCTCATTTATGGTCCCATGATATTTTGAGTTGGCATAGCATCAATGATAGTCTTCAGCTCAATTTGTCTTGTTTTTATAAATCGATAAATATCTGAATATATGTAATTGTCTATTTTACTATATATTTTGGTTAAAATAAATTGCTAGTTCACAAGACCCGCCACAAATTTAACAAACTTGTTGATTTTAGAGTCATAAGCAGTTATTGGAACCCCCCCCCCCCCCAAATTCCATATTACATAACACATAATATTTTATAAAACTTAGGTTTATTAGACCAAACTATAAAGTGTCATATTTAAAAGTATTACAATAAGTTTATATGGCGTTTTTAGGCATTTTAACAATTTTTTAAGACGTTTTTTAAAATAAAGTGTCTTGTTAATTATCTTATTGTGTAATTGATTCAAATATTGTTTTTATATTACAACTCATACTCTTTTATAAATTTGGATAACCGCAAACTAGACCAATAGCTAAACGTCGTATTTTAGTTCCGTCCAATTCAATTGTTCCTACACTTCGTCTACCCATGTATCCATCTCAATTGGTTTGGTTCCCATTTTCCCTACTAATTGAACCGTGAATATCTCTATATCTATGTTTTTTTAAGTATACATTCTAAAACCTTGGCTTCCAAAATATGTTCAATATAACTAATATTGTTAGGTAATTTATGATAATATTATCACTATTGTTATTATAGTATACTAGAAGGGTACTCGTGCAATGCAGCGAGATACATCTCGATTTGAATGTTTCGTTTTATTCTGTCTCATTGTCGATGTTATAATACGGTTTTATGTGGTTTTGAGAAAAACGATAATATTTTTATTTTTGAATAAAATATAAATTTGAAGATATCTTAAAATTAAAAAAAAACATATCGATGTTAGTAGCAAATAACTATTTAACAGTTCTTGTTTTGTTGTGTAATTTTTTTTAATTCATTTTTTTATTATAATTTAATTGGTTTAATAAGGAAGTAATTTTTCTTGATTTAATAATATAATTTTTTTATAAAGATAATAATTAAGTATTCAGTTAGAAGATAATGATTATCCTAATTATATTTTTAGATTTTTTATATTTAAAATGAAATGTTTATCCAATCTTTGATTATGTTTATCTGTATAGTTAGTTACGCGAATTCAAATATGCAACTTCAATAAGTTGTACTTATGCATTATTTACTTGTAATCTTGATTTTTAAAAGTTTTTGTCAAATGTTTTATAATATAGTATAGATAATATTTTTGTTGTTAGTTAACCACTAATATTTTAAACTCTAACTAGTTTGTAATAACAAATAAATTACGTTTTGTTATAGCAAAAATATAATAGAATAATAGTCTATAGAAAAAATGAATATGTAATTTTTATTAATCAAAAGCCTTTTTGCCGTCCATCATCTAAGTAGGTATTGAGGTTCCATTATCAATCTCCTTTTTTTCTCTATAGAGAAAGTATAAGCCTACGTCAATGGTTCAAAAAGATTCATTTGAACCACAGGATACTTATTCAAACAATCTCACCGAAAAGTACGGTGAGGATCCCTCAGCCTATCCCTTAGTTGATACTGACTTGTGGAATGAGGCGGTTGGGGGATCCAAGAAAAGCCGTTTATTTGGGTTCGGGTACAATGAAGATCCCAATTTGGTCTTGATCGGGACATCCTCACAAACAAACTCGAGTGGATCGCCTAATGTAGATAGTCAATTGTGTATCTCTTTATCCTTTGATGTCTATTTATTTCATTTATAATTCTTATTAGAAATTTTAACGTTTTATTGTATTTGTAGTTAATTAACAACTTACAATCCCAAATTCAAGAAATGCGCACTCGAGATGAGATCCGACAGAAGGAGGTTGAGGAACTTCTTCGCCGAAATGAGATCCGACAGAAGGAGGTTGAGGAACTTCTTTGCCGAGAAGAGATCCAGAAAAAAGAACATGCAGACATGATGGATATGATGAAGATGTTTACACAATCTCAACAGTTTCCGCCGACTCCGCCGCAATAGATTTGGTATAGTGTATTTATGAACTAGCGTTATCAATCGAATTTATAATCGTTCGGATGATTATATTAGGTATTTATGATATATTTGTGTATTGTATATTTAGATTTAATTACATGATCTTTATATTTTAGGATTTTATATTTTGGTTTTTTTGTTATTTTTTTCCTGTACCAGCTAAATTTCCGACGGATTTCTGGCGTAAAATCCGTCGGTAAATAATTAGATATAAGTTTTATTTAAAAATAAAAAACATTTTCATATTTTAAATTAGAAAAAAAGTTTTAAAATATAATTACCGACGTAATTTCCGACGGAAATCCGTCGGAAAAATATTATTTTTATTTTTGAAATAAAAACTAGTTATTATTTTGGAAGAAAATGGAAAAATTTTACCGACAGATTTCCGACGAAAATTCCGTCGGTAAATCTAATCTCATTTTGTATTACTTTTAATTAACACGTGCAAGGGATAACATATTATAAAATTGTACGACGGATTTCCGACGGATATTTTCGTCGGAAAATACAAATCCGTCGCAAATTCCGTCGGAAAATGCATTTAGCGGCGGGGGTTTTTCCGACGGATTTTGCTGTCGGAAAAACCAGATTTTTTAGTAGTGTACCCCGTGTTTTTTGGGTTTAGTTTGTAAAGGAAGTGACAATGTGGGACTATAGTTGTCATGTAAGAAAGGAAGTAGTTACCAAATTTTTCTATATAAGCTCAGTACAAAACTTGTATATATATACCTTGGGGCTGGCCAAATTTTTCCATGACCTGTTTTTTCAAAAGTTATTCGTACTTTATTAGTTTTAATTTTAGAATTTTTTTAAAGTTTTATACTCTATTAGTTTTATTTACTAGTACAATTAAATTAATGGGTTTTAATCATTTGAGAATCTCATATATACTGATAACTGTGAGAACTATTATCATAAGGTATCATTTCACATGATTTTTTCCATCTAAGGTTTCAATTTAATATTTTGATTAGCATATATTATTTTCATCATGTGTTTGTTTCATATGTATTCGGTTCACAATATGAAACTTTTTAATTATATTTTTTGTTTCACAAACAATTAATGTAAAATAGCACATGATGCATTGTTCTCAAGGTTATCAAAATTGTATGGGTTTTCAAATGAAAGTCCCTCTTAAAATAATTATAATTATATTTAAATTTAATTAATAAATATATAATTAAAATAATTATATCTTTTGATACATTGAA